CCAATGTATCTTCATTCATAGCATAATATCTCTGTGATCATTTTTGTTAATTATATACAATATAATAAGGGTCAGATCACTAATTTTCTTTGAATAAATAACATTTAAAAAGTGCAGTATGGATACATAATTGAGCACATTATGTAGGCACCTATAAAGTTATTGGTATTAAAAATGGTAATACACCGAATACGTAGGTACAAATAAGCGATTTAAGGTTTTATTACACACAATATTCATACGAATTAAAACGGTTGAATAATGTTTAATTCAGTCTTCGACCCTGAGTAGCAACGGTTTAAATTTCTCGAATTTTGGCAGGAAAAATCATCTGATTATAATGATTTTGTTTTATTAATGGAATTATTATTAGATCATAATAAATATATATTACATATATAAACAATACTGGCAATGAATACTAAGGCAAATGAAAGCCTTATAGTTTTTACTTTATACTTTAAAGCCGTATGCTCAGTGTTGGGAAATATCTAGATCAGTAGATAATAATTACTTATCTTTTATTTTATGTGGATAGTTTTCAGCTCAATTATATTTATCTTTATCTTGATCAAATTCTAGTTATCTATGTACCTATGTAGTAATACTACATAGTACATACCTAGGTATGTACTATAATATATCTATCTATACCTATAATTTATTTTAATGGACAAAAAAAAAATGTTGAAAATTAATAATATTATTCATATTTTTTATTTAATATTTATTAATTATTTATTTACATCTTATTTTTTGTTTATTTTTAAAATGTTTTAACTGAGTTTAAAAAAATCCAAAAAGATTAGGACATTTATTCTTTTTTCTTTTTTAAAAATATATAAGCTGGTTTGTATGATTAAGACAGACGATAACGTTTCAAGTTCTAATGAAGTTTACTTATTTAAAAAATAAACTATTTTATTTTATGTTTCTTTTAATATGTTTTAAATTATGTATTTATTTTCTTTTACCTATATCACTGAATAATGAAAATTTTCAAAATTAAATAATAATATAATATTTGATATTAACTATTACAGAATTAACACTATTAAGAATTAAGAGTTAAGACCTAATAAATAATAATAATAAACACTAAACGTATGTCGTATGTCGTACAATAATTCGTACACTGTCAATTAGTCACTAATAAGTAACCACTAACCAATAACACTGATAACTATTATTTGGAATTAACGATTAATGAGTAAGTAGTAGGACTGTAGGAGTGTAGGACTCAGGACCTATGTTATAAAAATATAAATGCCAAATGGTTATAAATAATAATGATAAAGATATTTTAATTTTATGAATATCTACCTATAATCAATATTTATATTAGCTTTTAATATTGTTCAGCGTGTTACAAACTTCGGTTATATAAATTATATATTATAAATATATATATAATTTATAATTTATATAATAGTGCAAAACAACAAAACCAAATTAATAATTTATCCAAGTCTATAAATAATAATATCGGACAATATCGTGGTTTTAATTTTACATTTGTAATATTTAAAATTTAAATACATAGTAAATAATGATATAGAATATTGTATATACTATATAAGTATATAACTATATAGATTATAGATTATAGACAATAGGAAAACTAAAAATAAAATGAAAATCGAGAACATTTTTAGTTCGAAACGTTTGACATGTTAGAATTTTTGCTGTTGGTAAATTTTTTGAGTTCGAACTATTTTGATTTTCGAACTTTTTTGTTCGTGTTCGGTTCGGTTCAGTTTTTTTAAAACTGGGTTCGATTTTTCGAACTTCGAACAGTTCGACCCACCCGTAGTATATACTATATAGGTATTTTATAATTTTCGTAAATTATTTTCCATGTTCTTCGTATTTCGTATTTGCAAAGCCCACGGCTTTCGGTTAATGATTTCCGAATAGGTCATGCAAATTCACGCTAATCGCACGATAAATATTGACATTGAAAAAAATTCGAAAAAAATTTATTTTCATTGGGGGGGGGGGGGGGCTGGAGAAATGTCTAAAAAATGGTAACTCCCATGGTACTTGGTGTTTTGAATGCAGGGTTTCGAAATAGGTCTCGCCAATTGCACGCTAAATGTTGGCGTTGAAGAAAATTCGAAAAAAAATTTATTTGCTGTTTGAGGGGGGCTGGGGAAATGGCAATAAAGGGGTAAAGCTCACAGTACTTGGGGCTTTGGGTTTACGGTTTCGAAATAGGTCACGCAAATTCACGCCAATTGCACGCTAAATGTTGACGTTGAAAAAAATACGAAAAAAAATTTATTTGTCTTTTGGGGGGGGGGGGGCTGGAGAAATGTCTAAAAAATGGTAACGCCCGTGGTACTTGGTGTTTTGAATGCAGAGTTTCGAAATAGGTCACGCAAATTCACGCCAATTACACGCTAAATATTGAGACATAAAAAAGTCCTTAAAATTCAAAATTCGGATGAGGAGGGGCTGTAGAAACGTTTCTACAGCCCCCCCACTTTGTTTACATTTTTAAACTTGACCTAGTGCCAAGCAAATTCCAAAACCAGTCACGCCAATTCACGCTAATTGCACGCTAAATATTTAACCAAAAAAAATTTTGAAATTCGATATGGGGGGGGCTGGAGAAACGTACGTGATACCTGCGCCAGCTGAGCCTCCGCCACCACCAGTGTCCACCACCGCCGCAACCGTGTACGTGAGTGACGTATATTATATCCCCCCTCCCCGCAGCCTCCTCCACTGCCGCGTCCTCCACCGCGAAATTTTAAAACATGTCACGGCTCATTTAACATCCGACAATCTTATCAGTTAGCACATATAAGATAAATGATAACAAGTTAACATTGATAACAAATTTGAATTTGTTCAATTTGTTCTGCTGTTATTCATTATTTGATTTTGGTCTTTATAGTATTACTGGTATTATTAGTTATTACCTTGCCAATTCAATATTGTTGACTATAATTTCAAAGAATGGAAGGTTTAAATTCTAAGGTACCTACCTGTCTATGTTTTTTTTGAGGACATTTAAATTGTACATGTTTAAAATTTTTTTTGTTTGTTACAACTACATTAGTACTTTTTTTTCTTTAATATTTATAATATCTATGTTATCTTAATTTGCTAAGTTAAAAAGAATAATTTAATATTTATTAATAATTAATATTTATTTCCATTAAACACCTTTAGTGCGTTCTAGAGTGAGACGCATTAAAAAAATGCCTGGTGAACTTGCATCTGATGAAGAATTTGATGATCCAGTTCAGAACTTTAAAATAAAATCATATTATATCATATTGGATATTGTTTCTATACAGATTCAGGAACGATTCAACGAAAATTCAATACCATTTTTTACAGAACATCTTTGTCAATATCTTTTTTCTGCACATATAGGTAGGTACTTCAAATTACTAACATTTCAAATTATTTTTACACTTGGTTTTCAGCAATGAAATATAAGTGTTTAATTAAATTATTAAACTTATACATATATAATATGAATATAATAATATAAATTTAATTTGCAACAATACCTATAAAAGAATAAAACGTCGGCGACTCCAATATTCCACTATTATTATTCACCAAGTTCATTAAAATATATTAATGACACCAATCACCATCCACCATCAAAAAAGTTTACACATTTGACAATTGACATTAGTACTACCATTGATTTTATAATATATATTATTATTATAGTTTATTATAAAATCAATGGTACTACTAACTTAGTAGCTTATGGTTATGATATTCACCACCAGGGTACAGCACAGTCCGGTAATTTATCCCACCATAAAATGTCCGTAACAAAACCTGGCCGCTGTTTAGACATTCGTTTCCAGTCCATAATATCTTAGTTCGTGATAGGGACATACTCGACTTTATTACCTTTAAAAAATTATAACTAAAAAAATAAAAATCGTATCTAAATTATAATTACGCCCTCGTATTCACTTTAAGAATAAATTACAAAAATAATTTTAATATTCTGTATTTACGTTTTTTTATTTTTTTTATTTTAATAGCTTTTATTCGGATACTATATTACAGCTCAACAATTATATTTCATACATATTATAATAAAATATTGTACATTATACATGATAAGAAAGCAATTAAGTTAGAAAAGGTATATACTATTCTAACAGATGATGAAATAACATTACAATTATGTTGTAGGGAAAAAAATTTGACGAGGTTTGAATGTGTGGAATTTGGCGTCGGTGTCATTTAAATGTTTCACAATTATGTTGAAATTTGACATACCCGAGGGCTGAACAATAAGATATGATGATGACGATTTACAAGTGAATCCATTCGGACCGATAAGACCCGTTAAGAGGTTTTTGAATGAATATTTATTTATTATGATGAATAATTTGAAATATCTTTGATATAAATTGGTGGTGCTGGAGAATCTTCCCCCTGAGCGGGAATGTGAGAGCTGCCATGACTAGATATGGAAATATTAGATGGCTTAGTAGTTTCGATTTCGTCGGAGTCGAGAACGGCGTATCTGTTTGGTGTGATGAAAATTTTTGATTTTTTATCGCCAAGAGTAGGTGATAAAGACGAATTGGACAGATTGCGTTTTGAATGTTTTGAGTTGGTAGGATTATGTGGCGAAACGGGACACGTACTCGGATCCGGATTTTTCACAAATACGTACTTATCGCCGACCCTGGCCAAACGGGTCAACTGGCTCATTTGTAGGTCTACGATAACTACCGATTGTTGACAATAAAATCGATATACTAACCAAGCTTAACTAGCGAAATATGCTCTTCTAGTTATTTATCTGTTTATTATGTATTTCATATGAATCGATTTCCATATTTAGATAGTTAAGAAAAAAAAAAATATATTATTATATATTTTTCTTTTAACTACTAAAATCCCTGCAATATTACGTGTATTAAACAATATTAAAAATTATATAATAATATAAGTAATGCAAAAAGCGTATTTACTAATTTTGTCATTGTATTTTTGTCGTAACCAGTATGAAGTCCTCAAGGTTTTTGAACGAGTCTCAGACGGCTCTGGAGAAACAATCATGGCCAATGATTGTTTCAAATGGTTTTTGGACTTCATTTTGTACCAAGTATATAAAAGTGGTACTTTCTAATTGTATTTTAAGGGGCCTGCTCGCGATTTTTCAAATTTTCCGCAATTCTATAAAATTTGAAAATTAAATTTTATATTTTAGTTGCCACCTCAATTATAAGACTTTTCCACTAATCTACTACCCAATACCTATTTAGGGGGGGTTGATAGAGTGTATTATATCGGTCAAAACACAGTTTACAGGAAAAACTCTCACACCTCGTAGATTGGTCCGATTTCCGTAATTTTTTTTTTGTTAGATAGAGGAATATTTTTTACAGAGCGCATTGGACTTCGATTTTTGATTACGTCGCTAAAAACAAAAAATAATACAAAAACTAAAAAGTTGTAAAAATTGATTAAATTCAAACTTGTAACATAAGATTTAGAAAAATAATGTTGAAAATCCAAGTCCAATGCGCCCTGTAAGAAGTCTTCCTCTATCTAACAAAAAAAAAATTACGGAAATCGGACCAATCTACGAGGCGTGAGAGTTTTTCCTGTAAGGCATGTTTTTGAGCAAAAAAACAGGTCGCGTGCAGGCCCCTTAAGTACACACACATAATAATTATGGATTTATATAACATATACGTTTTTTTCCGAAGTCTGTTCAAGAGAAGTCCATCGTATCAATTAAAATTCGATCGTTTCTCTCATGTTCCGTTTGAAGAGCTCGAGTCGAACGTTCACTTTTTGGCACACTCTTTCAGGACTGGATTTGCATTTAACGCAGCTTGAACCAGAGAAAGCTTTACCAAACTCTGTATTTATTTTCAACGATATTATTACTGAAAAATAAAAGATGGCAAGAACTTACTTCTCCAGAGGTCGTCATAATTTAGTTGATGTATTCTATTGGCTCAGAGTTATTCAAAAGTCCCAAAACAACTTTTGAGTGATAACGCTAATTTTATTGTATTATTCAAACAAGATGAGACTAATTTAAAAAGCATGTATACAATGAACATTGCTCTGGTGATATGTCATACTCAGAGTTTAAAGACTTTTGAACTTCATGTTGGCGTCTGGGGAGATTTGAGTTTATCGTGATAAACAAAGACTTCGAACGTGAAAACGGTCGATATCGTCATGGATTTGACACATTCGTAGTTATATAAAGTGTTGTCATTGTGGAAATGATTCATTCGCAGTCATGGCTGCTAGTGGTGAAGTACTCGGAGAACTGATTAAAGCCAAAGAAAATATTAAACGCAAGTATACCACATTCAAACAAGGAAAAACAGATATTTATTCACTAGTATCAGAAACGTTAAGTCCGATTAACGAACCATTAAAACAAAATATTAATAAAACAACATTTCAAGCTCCTCCCACACAGCAAGACATTGATATTCAAGATTCTCAATATTTTAACGACACAGGCGATTCGCCAGCTTATAAAGACTGGTATAAATCTTACGATATAGACAAAACGTATGGACCTAAAGTACAAACAAATGGAAGAGTAGTTTTAGGTAAAAAAGAAATTAATCTTGTCGAAAAAAAGTTTATTATTGAAGATACTTCATACCCGCTAACACAAGGACTTGGTAATTTAGTATTTGCTAAATCTCCAAAATTATACACCAAAAATGATTTAAAAGCATACAAGTCTATATTAATTCAAACATCATCGCATCTAAAAGCAGACGGAAGAAAAATTAAACAATGTGGAAATAAATATCATGATATAATCCAAAATTTATTTCTAACGGGTAGAGGTCTATCTGTGAAACTACAAAAACATAATTTAGTATACTGGAATGATCCTATAATGAGCTAGTCAATCGATTGCGATTACTCTTAGCATCTCAAGCTGCAACAGGCGTTTCCAACGAAATATTTTCAATTTTTGAAGAATTGGGTGAAGTAGGGTTAATAAAACGTATTCCAAATGTCTTCAAAATTGTTAAAATTAACGAAACATTACCTACTACTTATCAGCTACAAGATTATACTGGAAAGCCGATTGCTGGTTGTTTCTATTCAGAGGAAATATTGATTGGTGAATTACCAAATTTTCACAATAAGTAAAGAAGAAATTTATCTATGCAACAGTGTGCTCTTTCTTTAATAACACTATCCAATATTTTTTTTATAAGAAAATAAAAAAAAACAAAAAAAAATCAAATGTTTAGAAGCAAATAACTTTTATTGTTTTTTATGTTATCTAAAATATAGGCAAGCTGTTTCATTGATAATTTTCCACCCTATATGTTCAGATATTTTAGAGCCACTACTACCACTACTATACAAACACTGAAAGATAAAAGTTGTCACTCTCAAAACAGTTTTTGCTATGTTGTACATTTGTAAGACGGAGACAACACATGCGGGTGTGACATCCTCTTAAATTGTTTATCATTGGTTAAAATTTGTTTTTAAAGTTATATAATTATATCAGTTATTACACAGTACATATATTCATATTATAATTCACTAATACAATAAATGTGAGCACGTATGAAATTATGTTGTATGTTAAAGCATTTATTTATTTACAAAAATGTAGACTTATTAATAAGTCTTCGTCTCAGAATGAAAATGTTCTAATACAATTTTTTTGAAAAATGGTTTTTTGCATAGAATTATTTAATATTTTTTGTTGTATAATACAATTTTTAAATCGTATCAATCCATTGATGATTCAATGAGGTACAGAGAATAAAAAGGTTCTAACTCATACAAATTAAAGTGATAAGGGAAAATAGAGAAATATCAGTTACAACCTCTTCATAATTAAGAATGAAATAGTTCTAAACGATCTTAGATGTAATATTTTAGAATGAAAAGGTACTGTTATAAACGATTATACCACTGATACAATATAAATTATTTTCGTGCAGTAATGAAATATTATTCCAGCATGTACTTACCACCGATTTTTGTTTTGTTGCGATGATAAGGTAATACCTACCTGGTAAAATATTATAATTATAATTCTCCTATTATGCTGTTTTCGTATACCGCGTGTCTGTGTAATAAAGTGTATAATAAGTACCATTAAAATTTCTTAATCTAGCTTTGTCTCAACGTTTTCTACAGTTGTAACTTATAGTAGGTATTTCGTATAATAATATTAAACTTAAAAAAAAAAAAATATTGCATAGTAAACAATTGATAATTTATAACATTATTTACACTTAGAAGTTGGTATCGCTGCGTAGAAAAATGATTTAAATTAGAATGAAAAAGTTCTAACTAAATAAATAATTTGTATTTTCAGAACGTAAAAGTTCTACACGTAATATTCTTAATATTCTTGTTTATATTAACAGACAATTCTCCATTTAGTTGAGAAGTATTGATGCGTAGGTACTAATGTTGACAAAATTGATATAGTTTTTCGGGTGCTCACTATGCTAATAGACCATAATCCATGGTATGTACTCCTGTCTTCTGTTTTATATTATAAAACATAAAAAAAATTAGACTTGAAAATAAGAAACATTTAAACTGTTTGAATAAAAATAAAAATTTTAAAACATAGTGAATATATACAAAACGTTTCAACGACGCTTAATCTCTATAATGTAAACTTGACAGCCAAATATTTCATTTGATCTTGAATAATACATATGCAATTTGTATGTTCCATAGAAAAATGATTGAGGAAGATTAGTTTTCTCAAACAATAACAAATCAAAACCTGGACCTTTAAAAACACCCTGCAAGTATAAAATTAAGTTCATTAAGTATAGAAACTAATAGTTTTTATTAGTAAGTTAAATTAGTGTTAAATGATTTAATAGATTTCAATTGCAAATGGAACATTATTCACGACCATATTATCAGTAATTAATATGGCTCGTCTTACTAATATTTTGATAACTTATAAAATAGCATAATATAATATATTCTTTTTCAAAAGAGAATATACCGCTTTTGAGCATGTAGAATGATTCGATTGGTGCATCGAGAACCACGTGATCACGCTAACGATGAGATATTGGTTGGGAATGCAAGCCGCCGGACATAAATATTGGTCGCGACCGGTATATTCGTTTTTGAAAACGAGTATAGTTTAAGATGTCTGTCCAAAATTTCAAACGTTAAAACTTATAATAGTGAAAACTAAATTAGGTAGTGGACTTAACAATAGTAAAATCCAAAGTAATTATAATTTATAGTGGATATTAAAAAAAAAAACAGTGACAATAGTCTGCGACTACACGGTTTTACAGACGATCTGGATATCACGAGGAACTCACTTATAGAAATAGAAAATGCGTCAAGAGAATTGGAAAAAGCTGCTGAAAAATCATTTTTTTTTTCTTTAGTAAGTCTGTATATCTTAAATCGGGGAGAGGATTTTATATAGTCATAATACACAAGTACATAACCTATTAATCTCTTTCAATTTTATAAAACAACTATTATAATTTAAATTTGTAAGTATGTAAATATTAATAACTAAATAAAATAGTACACAATTGAATACTTTACCTGAAGTAAAGGACATTCAGTATTTGGAATTCCATTACCATGTAAGAATGAAGCCCATGTATTTCCCATTAATTTTTTGAACGCCGAGCACGCCTTTGGTGTTTTTGCAAAATACATTTTCTTTCCAATTCCCAAACGAATCTTTGATAGCCATTGACATTACCAACTACAAATAGAAATTTATCAGTAAATCGATTAATAGTTTTACGGATGTGAAAAAAGACATTTTAATAAAAACGCACTGCATATTAATAATAATATGAGGGTTATTTATGCACCATCTCGATCAAAGCTTAAATGTAGTTTTTTGACCAAAGTTACACAAATTGGATAATACACATAACACATCGACATAATAATTATCGGTAGGTATAATGGTAAAGTATGTAACAAAAAAGATAACAACTATAGGCATACGCAGTGGTGTATAATACTTTATATTTGTATACAATCAGGAAGGGGAAATCCTTGAAAAAAACTTTTTTTAAATATTTATAATGTCTTAAAATAAAGTCAGTATAGGTAGTATGATGAAATAATTTCATATTAGACTCGACGACCCCCCCCCCCCTCAAAAAAAAAATCCGAGGACTACAGTTGGCATAGTTATAAATGACCTACACTCTATTGAAAATAAGAATACACAAGGTGGCGACCCGTTTTTATCGCCAACGGTTATTTTGTCCCATTTCACATCCCCACCGTGTCCACAATTTTTACACCAGCCCTGTATTACCTACGCCCCTGAGCAGTAGCAATCTTGAATTAGTTTCAGTAAGCAAATAACTATATAATTTGATTTAATTTAAACATACAAGTAGGTAGTATTCAATTATATTATATACTTACGAAAAAACTGTCGTCAAAAGGTGTTTTGATAGTAGTATTTCCAAAGAGCCATGTTGAATTAGCTCTGTGACTAAAATACATGTTATGTTGGATTTTATTGTCCGGAGTAGGATTGCAAACATAAACTTGTTTGTAGACCACTCGGTAAGGGCCCTAAACAGAAATGTAAATCAATGGATAATATTATGTTTAATATTATATTATTATTATACTTGCTGCGGACCAAAATAGGAGAATGTGATATTTTGGCGTGGCACTTTTTGTGTGAAGCCGTGTTAGAGTGAATGTTTCAGATTATTTTAAAATAAATGTATCAACCAGTAAACCAGTCTAAAGCTCGGTTATCTACTTATTTTGAGATATGTAACGTTCGTCATTTTCGTGCACTCGTGCGATAAGTTTATCATTAATTTTTGTTCTAGAACAGTATAACGTCGCTTTCTAGGCAGGGCTTGAAACCGTTACTAAATTAATCAGTTAACGCTAGTGATTTTGTATACCAGTTACCGGTTTTATACCGATCCTGTTGTTAGAACCAATTACCGGTACTATATTAAAAATTACAGGTTACCAATTGAGTGATAACCTGCACTTCCAAAAAATTTCGGTTACCGGTAACCAATTGAGTACCGGTGTTCTAAAAAAAATTGCACTACACCTTTGTACCCGTTCCCTATCAGAGACAGACAACGATTTACAGTTGTCTATACGTCATCTGTTGAGAGTGCCTTTTATCGTATTTTGATTGATATTATAGTTCACAGGTAACAACGGTAGTCGGTACTCAGTATTTATAAATACCAGTAATCGGTTCTTAACCACGGTTAAAATATATTACGTTATTATAACGTTTTATGTTAGCTGAACAAATTGGCCAAATTTAAAGTCCTACACACGAATAATCTTTTACCGGAAATGAAAGATAGTGCAATCTTCTACATGGACATTTTTACCGAAATAAAAAATAGGGTAATATGTGAATATATTGTGAAGGTGATCTGAACTGACTGGACTCTTTTATTTAATACTTAGATCATATTTTGTATATTGTAAAATGTCAAGATTCAGGACTATTAAAAGAGTGGTTTATGTCTAAACATTGTGAATATAATATTATATTATAATTATAATATGTATTCGCAGAGCCATGGCTCTCAACAATATGTTATGATGCTCAGTTGGTTTATGAGTTTGTAACTTAAGAGTTAAAAGGCAATGTTTAAATTTGTTAAATTATAATTTATAGATTTGTTAAACAACTTAAAAATTATATGTAAATATGTTACATATTTTCTATAGTTTCATACAACAAACCAACTTTTAAAAATGTTCACTTGGAATTTGAAGACTATACATTTTTAGATATAATGAACATTTTATTTTTATTTTTCATGAAATTTTAAAACCCTAATTGCAAGACATATTTTATTTTTAATCTTGAAAATACGAAGACATATTTTTTTCTACTGATTTATTTTTTAACTTAATTTTGATTTTTTTTCTTCTATACATAAATCATTTGGTTTTTTAATATTTAATAATGTAAGGTAATTAATTAATTAAATGATTTAAACTGGAGGAAATGATTAAATTTGATAATGTATATAAGTATGCTACTATGCTAGGAGAAAACAACAGCGGTACAAGCAGTATTCACTTGTCAACCATTTAAAAAAATTAATTTGACCTTTTTTTAAAACTTACCACCTATTTTTTTACCATCGTTTGTAGGAGTTAACACTTTATTTGGTATCATGTCTTTACGCCGACGGTATCAACGCCGACGGTATCTACGCTGACGGCATCCACGCCGATTAGTATCTACGCCGACGGAAAAAATGCCGACGAGTATCTACGCCGATGGTATGTTTTTTTTACAAAACGAATGTGTTTCTATGGGACTAATATAAGAATAAAAATTAACTAATATGAAACTGAAAATTTTGGAAAATTAATTATGATATTAAATAATTAAAATTAAAATACGTAACTCGTTGTTGCCTAGTTTTTTTAATAATAAATATTTTTTAGCTCTGAAAAGAGCCTTTTTATGTCCTAAAAAGGACATTTTTTAAAACGACGAGTGGACCCTAAACTTGGACGTTTAACAAGATTGGAATTGAAAATTATGAGCAATTCCCTGCAAATAATCGGAGGTGTCGCGATACCCATAGTCTTTAACGATTTCTTTAATTCGCAATGCTGTGTCTCGATAACACCGTCGTCCCTGTGCTGGTGGTAATCTAGCAATGTACTGGTTGATTTGGAATTCATTTAGGCTCTGCTGATTTTGCAGACCCTCAATGAATTTCCAAATAGATGGATGATTTGCTCCTAAAAGAGAGCTGAATCCTTCAACGGCGGCGTTGTTAGTTTTGGGTAGATCATTCAACGATGCCTCGTAACAATTCCAGAGGCTCAGCTTAAATTTAGGAAGCATTCTTCCAAGGCCGGTTCGTCGGTCAGTTCGATTCTAACATTCGGTCTTGTAAGAAGTCAAAAGCAACCATGCCACTTGAATTTGTTTTAAGCCAGAAGGGCAACCAACAGTTGATCAATAAAGGTGTTGTGTATACCACGGACAAAATCAAAGAAGACAAACACATACCCATAACTGTGTTATCGAGACCAGCATTGCGAATTAAAGAAATCGTTGAAGACTTTGGGAATCGCGACACCTCCGATTATTTGCAGGGAAATGCTCATAATTTTCAATCCCAATCTTGCTAAATGGCCAAGTTTAGGGGGCACTCGTCGTTTTAAAAAATTTCCTTTTTAGGGCATAAAAAGGATCTTTTCAGAGCCAAAAAATATTTATTATTAAAAAAAACTAGTCAACGACGAGTTACGTATTTTATTTTTAATTATTTAGTAACATAATTAATTTTCCAAAATTTTCAGTTTCATATTAGTTAATTTTTATTCTTATATTAGTCCCATAGAAACACATTCGTTTTGTAAAAAAACATACCATCGGCGTATTTACTATCGGCGTAGATACTCGTCGGCATTTTTTCCGTCGGCGTAGATACTAATCGGCGTAGATACCGTCGGCGTTGATACCGTCGGCGTAAAGACATGGAACCCCTACACTATATTATATATGCATTACTGCCTGATAAATTTACAAAAACTTTTTCAAATGTTGATAAATGTATGTCCTGAATTATATCCTACATCTACTTCATAAGACCTTGAATTAGCTGTTAAAAATGCAGTGAAAAAACATTTCCCAAATATTATTGTTTATGGTTAATGTTTTCATCTCACAAAAAATTAAAATTAAAATATTGGTGAATTGCATCTTATATCAATATAATAACTATGCAGATTTCTATAATACATCATTATTACAATACGTGTTTATTAAATTGTGTTATTTATAAAATTAAAAAATGTCTTGGCGATTCACTTACGAACGGAGAACTCAAAAGCGGTCTTGAATCTGAAGACGACCCCGAACTAATTAATAATAACAGTTGTACAAACACAAACAAAGTATTATATTTCATTGTTTATTTTTTTTTGCTTTTGGCTGGTCTCGATGAAAATACAAACAGATACTATTAAATAGTATATACGTTAAATTTTAACGTGTAAAACCAAATTTCACGAACTCTATTGGTAATAACTAATAAATATTGCTTTTTGACTGATAGAAAGCATTGTTTAAATTATTCAATGTTTTGCTTCCATTGTTTGCATTGTAATATTAAACACTTAGATACACATAGTAATTTAATTTAATTTCTCCATTATCATACATCAATATAAATCAATATCACAATGATATTAAATAACACACTACACAGATATGGTATATTTGATACATTTATGTTATATTTAAAAAAGTTGACACCGACATTATAATAATATTCGTACACGATATACCAACCTATAATATTATACAATAGGTAGGTACTTATATAATTATCAATAGGTGGTTTTATCCTGAGATCATAATATTGTTGTTGTTACATTATATTTGAATATTTCACTGAAAATATGAATAAAATCTTTTACGATTTTTTTTTGCATTATTATTATAATTATTTATTACATTAATTTACCTTGGAAAATTTAATATTATCACGTTGTTCCTAGTATGAAGAATAATATGCGTATTATACACAAGTGAAAATTTAAAAAGAAAAGGAACAACCGTTGCAGATGTAAACTGCTCTCTTTTATTTTATCATCGAGTGTGAAAAAACAGTTTTTTTCAATTTTGTAGACAGACATGTGTGCCCTAAAATTTTAAGTAATCCTAAGTTCACAAGTCACAACACAATATATTAATATAGTTTGTATCAAATATAAATTGGCAATGATGAATGGAATCTACAGCATTATTCTGATATCTGATGAGTGATGACTAAACGTTTAACACAATATTTTGTACATGACCACTTAGACATGATCATATTAATTTTATTTTTTTTCTATTTCTTTATGACAACATATATTTTTAATTTCTTATTGCAAAGCAGAATAATTTTCTGAGTATCTTGAAAATAATAATCAAATTTTGAACAATAAGCTATTATGAGTTTTACGTATTTAAATTTTAAATTTTAGATGAGATAAGTAGAGTGGCACATGGGTACTTCATAGTTCATAACTTCTTCCAGATTAACTTGTGATACCACTAGAAAAGTAAAAAGTGGTAGGTAATTCATAAAATGTTAGATATTTGTCCACCAAACCGTTCACATTGAACTTTAAATAAATATACATAATATAATACAACTAATTCACTCTAGATAATTATGTTACCATTTATCTAATTTTTAGCTTAGATAAACAAATAGACTTATCTAGATAAATATTTTACTACCACTACAAAATTATAAAACCAATGTTACTAAAATTCTAGTATAAATTGTTTAAAATTAAAAGAATATGTTTCTTGTTATTATTTCCAACGAAGGTATTACGATAATGCGAGAACCTGCATGCGGGCTTGCACTATAGGTACATCGTTCTCTACGAGCCATAATGAGCATATTAAAATTAAATAGGTAAAGGTTTATTTCCTCGTCCATTTTAAAAATAGATTAAAATTAACTTCGTAGAACTGTATTTCAATGGCTCAATCCGTTGTATTATAAATATTATCTCATTATATTGATATAAATCTAATGTTACAAAAATACCAAAAAAAACAATAAAATAATTGTAAAAAAAGGTGCTCTGATGACTAAATTTGATACATTTTGTCAAAATTTGATCTTTAAATGCTTATAAAAAAAAATTGTGACTTTGTATTTTTAATATTTTTCAACTGCTATTGTAACAATATACCAGGAGCCTTGTATTACATTTTTACACTTTTTGGCCGAAAATTAATAAAATTGAAGTATAAAATTGTCCGCAAACAGCTCAAAATAGGTCAAAATATTTTGAAAATTTTATCAAGTATAATAATTGATAAAATAAACATTCAGTGAAATTTTCATGTATCTACAGTTATTCGTTTTTGAATTACAACAAAATAAGAAAATCGCTACATGAAAATTCGAGTGAAAATCCAATATTGTAAAAATATGAACTTCAAACGCTCATAACAATTTATTTTAATTTGCTTGTAGACATTTTTTTTTTGATAAAGGTAGACACACTTATGAATAATCTTGTATTACATTTTCAAATCTTAGTTTTAAAAAGAAAAATTTATGAATTCTTAACTCAAAATAATTTGCAAGATTTCGTGTTTTTTTCCGTATTTTGTCAATATTTGAACTTTAAATGTTTATGAAAAAAAACTGTGACGTGATTATTATATGATTCAGCAATGTTCGAAAATAAAATGTTTAAGACATACCTACAGTATTTCCCAGGCCGATTCATTTTTCGAATGCAATAATCTTATCCGCAATTAGTGATTATCTGTTAAAGATTATTGATGATTGTATAACAGAATGATATTTCGTCATTATTATTTTTAATAATATTAATTATTACTGCTGTATCAGTATATTTATTAATACGGTGTACCGTCAAATTATCGCGACAATATTGTCGCGGTAATAATATCGCGGAAGTAACGTCGCGGTTCATTTCATAGCACATCAATAATCTCGCGCGTCATTATTATCGCAATATATTTTATTATTTGCAAGATTAGTTACTAGATAACAATAATTTGTTTGCTTCGTACAGACAGTACACGACAGTATAATATAACACGGCGCGGCACACAGCCTGCATTATGGAGTATATTAAAAAAAATTCACGGGAGGCCATTTTAAGGGTCAGATGGGAGGCCATTCGTGAGTGCCCAAGAGGAGTTATGTGACCTGTACAATAGACCGGATATAATAAATGAGACAAAAAGGAAAAGAATGGAATGAGAAGGTTATGCGTGGAGAAAACCTGAAGCCATGGTAAAGATGATTTTACAAGAGTTTCCAAGAGGAAAAAGACTTTTGAGAAGACCCCGAATGTGATATTAGGATTGTGTCAAGAGGGATATATCAGACAGTCTACCCGCAGATGAAGATTGGTGTATGTTGGCGTAAAATTGTGATGTATGGAGTCAGTTATGTTTGGATATGTGGTTTGAACAAAAAAATAAATAAAAATAACTCTGTTCATTCTGATTTCACTTATTTTGTGTTACTCACTAACTTACTAAAAGCAATTACTTTCCTAGGTTTTAATAGAATTTTGAAAAAGTACTATATGTATAAACATATATCTATACAATAATATTAGAATTTAGAATACTAACTGATCCCACATACTTCATTTACCTTAAAATGTGTGATTGTTCAACTCATTTTGAGTGTAAGTGTAATTCGCAGCAGTAAGTGCACACTCAGCCATTATTGTGAGCAATATGGGAAAATTCTATTTGATGCATACCTGTACCTGATCTGTCCGATTAACCAATGGCAACCAGTATACAAAAAAAAGTAATCATTTCTACTAATTATTTCTCCTATGCAACCATTTATCAACAAAATTTGATCTTTAAATGCTTATAAAAGAAATTGTGAATATGTATTTTTAATATTTTCAATCACTATTGTGTTACAATATATCAGGAGCCTTGTATTACATTTTTACACTTTTTGGCCCAACAGATAAAACTTTATTGATATTTACCTATAGAAAAAAAAACTAAAAAAAATTGAAAACTGTAAATGTCCGTAAACAGCTCAAAAAGAATCAAAATATTTTCAAAATTGTATGGTGTATAGGAAATGCTAATATAAACATTCAGTGAAATTTTCATGTATCTACAGTTATTCGTTTTTGAATTACATCAAAATAAGGAAATCGCTATTTGAGAAATCGAGTGAATATCCAATGTTGTAAAAATTTGAATTTCAAACGCTCATAAAAATTTAATTGACTTTCTTATAGACATTTTTTTTTTGATAAAGGCAGATAATCTTATAATAAATCTTGTATTACATTTGCAAATCTTAGATTTAAAAAGAAAAATTTTTACGAATTCTTAACTCAAAGTAATTTGCTAATTTTCGTGATTTTTCCATATTTTGTCAATTTTTGAACTTTAAATGCTTATAAAAAAAAATTGTGACTTAGGATTTTTAATGTTTTTCATCTGCCTTTGAAACAATATACTCCAATATACTAGGAGCCTTCTATTAAATTTCCTAGCTTTCGCAACCAACAAATAACATTTTATTGATATTTTTAGAAAAAAAACTAAAAACAAATGGAAAATTAAAATGTCCCTAAACAGTTCAAAATAAATCAAAATATTTTGAAAATGTTATCGTGTATAGAAAATGCAAATATAAACAACAATTGAAAAATTCATGTATATACGTTCATTTGTTTTAGAGTTACACCAAAAACCAAAATCGATTTTTTGGAAAACCGATTTTGCGTAAAAATTTCCCGTTTTTCCTTAATTTTTATGTTGTTTTTCAAAGCGATTGTGAAAACTACTGTGAAATTTTTACTGTTGACCCCCCAAAGTACCAACTAGATTCACTTTCCTATCAGAAAAGCTACTGTTGAAGAAAATCCAATAAAAAAAAAAACACACATCATTGTAAAATCAATACATTCATCGTTTCACTCAGAATCTAAAATAAATATTATAATTTAATTTGTAAATACATCGTATACCTATAGAGTAAAGGCGAAAAGTGATGAATCAGGTAAAATTTATTTATAGATGATGTAGTTGATATATTTTCAAAAATAAAAAAAAAAGCTGATATCCTTTAATAAACTTCTAATATTTTTGTTTATCAATAAATATTGCCATAATAATTTGTAGACTTTTAATTGATATAGGGGTAAAATTGTTTTTATAAAAAAATCTGCCACCTTTTATTTAAAAAGTATATTACCTAGTTAATAAAAAGGGTAGCATAAAAAAATGTAAATTAACATAACGAGCGAAGAGAGCGGTTTTTTTTTTAAATATTCGGGTCGGTCAAAACCTTTGCCCCCCTCTATTGAAAACTGAAATGACGCCACTGCATTAAATAAGTAATTCATTTTAGTATTAATAGTTTAAAATATCAAATAGGTGGCCATTTTAGCTATGTTAGTCATAACTTATAACTTACCTTTGTTTTGAGACGTTTATTTTGTTTTGTTCTTGCATTGTGTCTATAAGATTTAGATTTTTTTCTTAATTGAATGTTTTGACTTTTGGTTTTTTGAATTTTTCGTCTTACTTCATTTCACTTAGGACATCTTTTAATTATTGTGTTTTTATTATTTGAAGGTAAACTTTTAAAACACTCTGGAGACCTTTTTCCATAATCATTACTACCAATGCAAATAACCAGATTATGGATGTCATTCAACAAATTTTGGATTCGTTCAAAACTCTTCATCATAAGAAAATACATGCATTTTTTAATCAATATTAAGTTTGATAAACAAGTTGTAGTTGTAATAAAGATAAATTAATGTATAATACATTTTTACAAAAGGTTAAAATTCGATTTACTTGATACGTGCGACGTACCTATAATAGTTATTTATTAATTATAGTTAATCTTACATCAAGATAAAAGTTATAAAAATATTGCTTATTACCTAATAATTATCATATTAAATTATAATATTTAAATTTAAACTATTAGTATCAGTATCTTGAAATGATTGAGTAAAATGATTTTATGTACAAATAATTTATCTAAGTGTATAAATTATTAGTAGGCACCAAATAATAATATATTATTGTGGAGTAATGCTATTAAGTAACTAGTAATTACCTACTTAAAATTTATAAAAAAATCATGTAAATATATTTTTGTCTATAATATTATAGTGTGCCTATATATGTACCTTTGGAGCTCTAAACAATGAAATATTTTTTCTTTCACTTCCACTAGCTTATCCTGTCTTACAGCCTGGTACATAGCATTGATTTGGCATTTTTAAATTTTAAATTATTTAATTTACCCATTACACTTTTAAAATAATATTTTAAAACTTTATATAATATTTATTGTTCTGTAACTCAACAGTCAATAGTACAAATTTAAATTTTAAATGGACAGTCATAGTTCTTACAATAATTCTAATACATTTGAAACAATATTTGAAAGGGATTTATATTTTAAATACTATTTGTTATGACTGGGAGTCTACCTCTATATGTTTATTTTACTGAATTCGTAACTATATTTATATAGTATACATTTTTATTTATATCAACTTGCTAATATGATATAAGCATATTTCATATGGATTATGAAATTTAAACTATATTGTCAATATTATACATTAGTATGGTCTATATTTAATGTACCATAATAGCAAATAATTAATATAACCGGGCTTCGAATAATGTGGTGGTGCTTAGCGGTGTTCATGTTAACTAAATTTGTGCCGTCAAAAATTGTGCCACTTTTTTCGCGGAGTGGTATCACCTTCTCTTCTCTACATCGTGTTATAAACTTATACTTTTATATAATTATTTGAATAAGTTACTAGTGTAAAGTGTTTGCGTGCATTTGATTAATGCATGGCTCGACGCCCAACAGAATCAATACTTACATAAAAAAAATGTATCTACATCTATTTTAAACGATACAGTTACAAAATATTTAACTTTAAATTTGATAATGAGATCACTGATTCACCGTTATGCTGACCTCATGTCCTCTGCAAGGGTTTTAAGCATATCAACATAAAATACATTTCATGAACATAAAATGCTTATAATGATAGGAGACACGGTAAATCGATATATTATGTTTTTATTTATCACTCAATGAAGTCAAGAGTTCAATCAAATAATTTTTAAGTGGACTTGAATAACATAAAATAACACAAAAAAGGATCAGTTTTCCGATTGTGGTCATTATGTTTTACGGTCACTGCAGCACCAATTATTACGCTTTTAGTTTTTATGGTATATACACTAATAACTGCGCTTGCGTTTCGGTTTCATCGTTAGGTATAATCGATCTAATGGCTAATTTCCTCTAACATTGCATTATTTACCATTTACAAACTATTATGTAAAATTAAAAACTTGTTTTTTTTTAATTGATTTCTGTTTGACTGGTAAATTATTTTTTATTTACGGAATAAAAATAATATTATTGGACTTTTAATTTAAATAGCCAATTCGCACCATAATATACAGGCAAATAATTCAAACATGTTATAATGTTTGAAAAAAAGTAACATTAACATTGTTTTCTGTTGAAAAACTCATATATTTAATAAATCATCAAACCCGTAGTTAATAAACAATACATTTCAAAGTAGTTTTAATTCTATAATCAAAGCTTGACAGCTGAACATTTCATTTTTGAGAGTGTAAAAGAGATGACATTTGTATGTTCCGTAAAAAAATGTCTTTGGAAAATTAGACTTTTCAAATAATATTGGATCAAAACCCGGAGATATATATATAAACCCTGCAAGTATAAAATAAAGTTTAGAAAGCAAATGCATAGATTGTATTATTATATTTTAGTTATTCAAAGTATGTATATCTAAAATGGCATAATAAATTTAAACCATTAACTAAATACTAATTATGACACTGAAAATTATTGGTAATGTATACAATACAATACAATATAATATACAATACATTTCAAGGTCGTTTAAATTCTACAACCATAGCTTGACAGCCGAAAATTTCATTTTTGCGAGTGTAAAAGAGACGACATTTGTATGTTCCGTAAAAAAATGTCTTTGGAAAATTAGACTTTTCAAATAATATTGGATCAAAACCCGGAGATATATATAAACCCTGAAAGTATAAAAGAAAGTTTAGAAAGCAAATGCATAGATTGTATTATTATATTTTAGTCATTCAAAGTATGTATACCTAAAATGGATTAATAAATTTAAACTATAATCTAAATACTAATTATGACAATGAAAATTAGTGGTAATTATATTATCATTATATTATAAAACGTTAAGTATTGATGTTAATCATTTTCCAAGTTAAATCCAGTGGTGTATTGGTAAATAAATTTATGGGTATACGCACCTAAAAATAGCTGAATATACCTATAATTTCTTTAAAAATTTTTCTCATTCCGCACGAAAAATCATTAACTTAATATTTAATAATCTTTTATTACTTTATAACAAACACTAACCTTTCATATGAATATGTATATGCAGTGGAGTATAAAGGGGTTCACCACTTCATCAATCACCCTATATTCATCCCACCCCTAATTCCTATATACGCCACTGTGTGTAATATGTACAAAGTATTAGTATCTAACGTATTATTTTTTTTAATTAATTTAATTCATAAATATCATAAAGAATACAACTTTTTACTATCAAACTTAAAAAAAAATTGAACCGTAAAATAATGGACTATACTAATAAAATAATAAACAACTTTAGATAATATACAGTATTTATTACCTAGTCTATATAATATTATCTATTAATCTATGTTAATAACTTATCAAAATTCAAATATTATTATAAATCATTTTAACGGCAGCTTAAGATCGTATTCGCAAGAACCTGAAGTCGGGTAAAATTTAATCGAACTTCATGCAGGTATGGGGCTATTTTTGGACAGTGTACTTAATGTCATAATAAAATATTATTGTATTAATTTGTTTATTATTATTATTATTTTTAACTTATGTTTGGTGATAATATGACTGAATTGTCTGTCATATATTGGAAGCGTGCTTATACCCATAAAAGACTAATATTTTTAACGTATACCCTCCAATACACCACTGGTTAAATCCATTGTTCATTTGTTAATAATATTCTTATGGTTAATATGTATTGATTCTGTATGTATTAAACAAACTGATGTAATACTTTCTAAGCCAATCGATTTTGTATGTCAATAATAATAACCAAATAAGACAATATAGTGTCAGAAACCTATGTATTTACCGGAAGTATAGGACATTCGGTATTTTGGCTTCCAGCGCCATTCATGAACGCATTCCAAGAGATTCCCATTAGTTTTTTTAACGATGAGCAAGCATTTGTTATTTTATGTGAAAGCACATTTTCTTTCCAATTTCCAAGTGAATCTTTGACAGCCACTTTAAATTCCAACTGCGAACAAGATTCAGATATAATTATTGGATGTGATGTGACAAAAATACATAACTATTATAGCAATCCCAATTCCCGACCAACATACACTAGCCGCCCAATATTATAAAAAAACTTTCAACCATTCAAATCCTCTAATATCAAACATCTCCTCTCTTACTCTTCCTGATAACCCACCCCGCCGTCTTAAACGGAATTGGCCCAGACTCCTTAACATTTAAAAATAAAATAATAAAAAAAAAACCGACAAGAATAATTATTATTAAGTTCCCACCTTCTATCACTCTGTCCAGTCCTCTATACTTGTACAATTGTTTCTTTATAATATATATTCATGGATAAAATCAATATACCTATCCTTCAACCATCATTGTTTTCAACAACAAAACCAAACATGAGGGTTATTATTAGTAAAATAAATATGACAAACCATATATTATTTTATTTAAATTTATTTCAGATAATATATCCAGTAACTAGGGAGTCCCTAGATAACTATCTCAGTATTGCAGAGCCCTAGGCTCGCCTGCCCATAGTTTGTGAACCTCTGCAGTATAATGTGTACGAAATTCTACATTGAATACCAACTAACACAATTAGTCATTATTTTAGTACATCGCATTGATTATTTTTGTTAAGTGTAAAATAGTAAAAAATCAAGTTTCCTTTTTTTTTGCTGGGCAGTTCATGAATAACTTAATCGACATTAATATTTTTTTTTAAATTAATAGAATGAAAATAACTTTAAACAGGTAACACCAGTGTACACCGCAGTCCATAAGGCACAAGTTCCAAAAACTGACTAAGGTTAAAATAGAAGCCAATAGTTATTAAGTAGTAGGAACTAAATTTAAAATAAATATAGTAACGTTTACAAGTAAATATGTAAATATTTAATACAATAATTATTACAATTAATTACAATAAGATAGTTTTTCGTCTAAAAATACGAATGTTGTTGTAAATAAATATGACAATAGTCTGATTACGTACAATATATACTATAACAAAAATTCGATAGTAATATATATATTATGATTTTGGTATTTTAGTTAAAATAAATAAATACATTAAATATATCTTGTTTTTATATTGCAAATTTACGACTGTACACTGACATGTACGTTACTTTACGCTTGTCTCTAAGTTTCGGTGGCGGCGCCGGCATAAATGCGCTATAACATATAGGTAGTGGGGTACCTAAATTTTTGTTTATTACCTATCAGTTTATTAAGTTTTCGTTATACCTACTATATTTACAAAAATGGAAATACCAACCGAAAAATACACTCTAAAATAACTGTTAATACCTAAAAAAAACTCCGAAGGGGGATCAATCCCCCCCCCGTAAATATGACACTGATAGGTTCATAACTTTTGATTAATTGCTGTATTTAACTGTGTAATTTAGAGTTCTTGGTATTGACAATTTAACCATAGTCACATGAAATTTAACACAAATATATGCCATGGTGACAGTAACTTAAAACTATCATGAAATATTTTGTTTTCTCAATTACATTCATCGTGTTTTAATTTAATCCTATGGAATACACATTACAGGTTACATTATATTTTACAAGTAAATAAGTAATATATCTGTTAAATTATAACCACTTACGAAAAAAGAGTCATCAAAAGGAACTTCAAGGGTTGAATTTCCAAAGAGCAATGTGTGATTGTTCTTGTTACTAACATACATGTTATGTTGAATTAAATTGTTCTTTGTAGGATTGCAATTGTAAATTTGTTTGACGTCTAATTTGTAAGGACCCTAAACATAAATATTAGTCAGTGCACAAGATATGCATAAATATAATAATGATGTTGTATAATTTGTATATTTTAAATTTTCACGTCACCGTCTTTTAATTCCCGCACAGTATACACTATACCTATCTTCTCTCTATCTCTTTTGTTCCACCAGTTATATTATGTCAAATCATTATCTTTCCTGAATGATGAAATTTTTCAATAAGAAACCAACTATTTTATTTTAGATTATATTTCCATTATGTATAATAAATTGTATTATTTTTCATTGTTTTTTATATAATTTTTATTTTTAGGATTTTTTTAATGTTAACGCATCTTTATAAATATTGTTGTATCATGATGTATTTATTTCTTCTAGTTGTATTTATATTTGAATTGTCAAGTACCGTATTATATATATATATATTATATATTAATATGAAATAAAAAATAAAATAATTACGATAGGCTTTGCTTTATTAAAAGGAATAATGTGTCAATGTAATATATATACACATATTTTAAAATTACAGTTACGTATTATTTATTATATCTTTTATATACAAATGCAATGTGAATTAAATTAATAAATTTGAATAAAAAAAGAAGAATGCTTAACACATATTTACATATTAATAATTTTAAATTATCTGGACACTAAATTGCATTGTTTAGTGAAATAATGATATTTATTGTAAAAAAAATAATAATTAATGCATAGATAATACAATTTAAATAAAAATTAAAAATTTTGTTTATTTTCAAAATACAAACACATCAACATTTCTAAGTTGCGTAGCCCGGGTGATGCCTTACCAACTAACTGGCTTTTAGAGCATTTTTTTAAGTTTCGAAAAATTAAGAGTTAAGTATGGGAATACGAAAAATTAATTGAAATTAATACAACTGTTATGTAATTATATGCAGATAATCAGATTACAGTTTTATTTATTAAGGTAAGATAGATAAGATAGATTCATGTAATTTCTTAACCCAATGAAATATTATTCAACATACATTGTCACAATTCATTTTATAAGCGTTAAAGTTGAATTTTTACGAAATTCTTCAGTCAAGAAAACATGTAATTTAATTTGTAGTAAAAAAGCATAAAATAATTGAAGTTTAAATACGTAACTACCTAAGACTTGAAAATTAAATACTTGATTCCTTACATATTGATATAATGGGAATTTTAAGATAAAGCTTTGCTTAAAGTTACGTAGGAAAGTACATTTTTTATAAGCAGTTGAAATTCAAGTTTGGACGAATTTTATAATAACCATACCTTAACGATAGGTATTTTAGATTCTGAGTGGAGCGATGGGTGTATTGATTTCACATTGTATTTTTTTTTTATTTGTGACTGTCATCACCTTTTGGGACAACAACATTTTAACCTGAATATTTATTTTAGAAATTTCCATACACCATAATTTTTTGAAATATTGTGACTCTTTTGAGATATTCATAGCCATTAGAAAATGTAAAGTTTTATTAGTTTTTTTAAAATTGAAAAATAAAATAAAAAATGTATTATAATTATAAATTATTTATAATTTTTTATTTAATATTTATTAATTCAACTTATCGGCTAACGTATGAATAATATCAATATAGATATAATATTAAATATCTTATGCCTACAAAATATCATCTCCACTCAGCATTGTTTTTCTATACAATGATATTATATCACTTGATTCAAATTTAACAACATGCATCACAGTGACCCACCCATTCGTAACCTATACTGTACAGAAAAGAGTCACCCACTGTTTTCTTATTTTTCAAAATGTACTAGTTAAAAAAACTTGAAACATTCCGGTATTATTTAAATTACATACCTTGTTTTAAATACACAATAACATTTTCAAAATATGTCCATTGATTCAATGATATTTATAACCATTAATTTAAATATTTAAATAACTTTTTTTCTACACATATTATGATAAGTATCAATGATTTTCATTTTTAGTTTTGATAAATATTTAGGTGTGGACAAAAGTCTTTAAATTGTATTATAATAAAAGATAATACATATTCGGTTGTTCTCATAGCAGTTAAAAAAAAAAATCAATATAACTCACTAAATATTTTATTTTGCTTTATTGTTCCATTAACCAGGTGTTTAATATTTTAGGAGAAGTAATGCTAACCACCAGCACGTTTCCCCCCTTATACGAAAGTATTGGAATAACTGTTTATTATAAATAATAAAATTATTTTAGTAAATCACTTACCATTGGAGATATTAATAACTTGTTTAAATCAGCAGACGATACTGAACTAATCGCGAATATAAGTTTTGCAAGCATAAAACAAATATTATGGTTCATGGTTTCTCTTTCTTGCTATTTGCTGGTGCTGATGAGTACTCAAAGAGATGTAAACGAGAAATACCAAGTGTCACAAATGATAGATACCTACTGAATATTGCTTTTCGAGTATTAAACTAACAAAGTTGCGTAATTTTTTTTGGGGGGGTTTATTGGGCATTGTTTACATATAACGTAGCGTACTTTTATGAATAGATAATATGTTAATAATTTTGTAATTAGTTTTTTATATTATTATAAATCAGTATTACTACATAGTTAATAGGTAGGTACAATGAGTACCATGATATCGATTACTACACAGATTATGATATATTTATTTATTGAGTTTACGCCTGGAAGGCTCAAGTACAGATATATAATGAATAAATTACACAAATTTACAAATGTACAGTGACAAAATATATGAGAAATAATAATAAAAATTGGTGACATTAAAATATATATTATACGATATATCCGTTGTTATATACTATACAATAGGCACGTATTTTATTATCGATCACTGTTTCACCTTGGGGGTCGTATTGTTGTGTTATGGATGTTATTACGATATATTTTTTTAATTTTAATGAAAATGTAATCAAAACATATATTATATTTGGGCTCGGAATTTGACGATTTAATCTTATCGCATTCTAAACATTCTATGTATAATAAGTACCTACAACTTATTGTAGTATTATAGGTACACGAATGACAATCAAAAAATAAAAATATTAACCACGTTATAACATAACTTTGGTAAAACTAACAGGGTTTAGGTATAATTTTTCGATAAAATGAGTGTTGTAGAGATTCTATAGGACAATTTATCTCCAAATTTGTATTCTTTTCTCACCCAAGTATCAACTTAGTACTTACTAATGAGAAGCTTTTTATACAATGTGGTCATAACTTATAGCTCTGTATCGATATTGATTTCAGCAATCAAAATACGTTAGATCGTTGTGTTGTTTATTATTTTGTGTAAGGACAACGGTACCCAGGATGCCTCAGAAACTGACTGGACCAGATACACGTTCCTTTCCAAAATAATGTGTATTAAGGATTTGCAAACTGAATGCAATTTTTAAGTCTTACGGCCGTGGGTCACTGCAGAACCAGTTGTTGAGCTCTTAGTTTTAGTATACTAATATTGCCAAACATACAAATGTTAAAATAAATTATTTTAAGAGGAGGAAGCTACACCCGCATGTATATTTGTATCTATCCGTTTTACAAATGTACTTGTACAACATACTATAAACTATTTTCGCTGTATAGAATTACTCGGGCTGTAGTGATAGTTTACACATTTGTAAGACGGAGACAACACATGCGGACGTTATAGCGTCCTCTTAAGTATAGGTACTTAGGGCCTGATCACACTGTGACGCGGCCCGCGTTAGTAGCAAGTACAATGTACAAGCACTATAGCGACCAGTCTATCTTATCTCCAACCACCACCACGGGATGCAAGCAGCTCGACCGGGTAAGACGTACAACGGTCGGAGGAAAAGGCGATTCGAGATCCACCATCGGACCGCCGGACCGATAACATATCGTCCGACGTTAAACTCATCTGCCCCGAGCGGCACGTCATGTATTATTATATTTTGGTCGCAATATTATAATACATAATTTGTGACATTCTTAAAGTGTTTGTGTTGTGTTTTTTTCATCACCTCAATCCTAACCAAACACTTCGACCGGACCACGATCAACCTTGAAGCAATCATCGTGTCCGCGTCAACTGTGGTAATTTAGTCATAGAGTCCGGACGGTTTTATCACCGCGGTTTTTAAGGTATCATCTAAACCACTCTAAACAGCCGTTTTAAAATCGACTGAGCCACTGAGTGGTATTATCGTGTACACCGCGTAGGATGGCTCAGTCGATTTTCAAACAGCTGTTTAGAGTGGTTTAGAATTTTAGATAATACCTTAAAAACCGTGGTGGTAAAACCGTCCGGACTCTACGACTAAATTACCGCAGTGTGGCCAGGCCCTAAGTACCTACCTACTTACTAGACGATAACGTAAAAACAACTTTATTATATAAGCTAGAATAAGTTATTTTTAATACTTCTTAAGTATATAATTTACATTTTCTACTACATAAATATTAGTGTCCTTCTACACTTTTCAGTGACGTGACCAGGATTTTTAAAAGGAAAAGGAAATGGGGGGGGAGGTTCAAATAAGGTCCGGGTTAATACTATTGTAAGCCCTAGACCAGGGATGTCAAACATGCTACCCTTGGCTCGTTTTTTTATGGCTCATAGATAGCGATATTAATGAACAATTAATTGAAAAAAAAAATTTGAAAAGAACCCGCATAAATAATGGTAGAGCGTCTATCATTACTTAGCTTAGAAGATAGTCAGCCCTCGTCGAAGTAGCTTATACGACAGTGCTTAGAGTATTTGTGTAATTGTATTTGTAATAATAAAAGTGTTATAATATTATTATCATATTTAAAAATACTTAAATAGTGTTAACAATTATTTTATCTATCTTTCTCATTAACGACTCAAGACAACGACGAACGTGCGGCGTCGTTAAATAATTAATGTATTAGTGTTCAAAGTGTCCTTCACTGCGATTACTACACCTTTAAGGACATTAAAAATGCTTTGAATTTCTTCAACAGCATATTTTCCAGGGCTTTGCACCCGAATCATTTATTCGGGTTTCGGGTGGTGGATATATTCGGGTGTTCAAACACCCGAATAAAAAGTTTAAACAAACATTCGGGTTTTCAAAACCACTATTATTCGGGTTAATATTGGTTAATACGGGTGCTCAGTAATCTGGAAAAAAACATAGCTTTTGATGACCCCCCCCCCCAAAAAAAAAAAAATTATTTATGCAATGACTTATTATGTTATGTTTAATTAAATATATATTTCCAACACGAATTTGCAACATTTGTTTTAGACCAAACTCGTATTAATGTACCTACAGTAGTTACATTTTTTTAAGAAACTACAAGAACTAAGGCGATGGGAAATTAATTAGTTACCTATTCATTTTATTGGATGCATTAGAGTCTATATCACTTATGAAAATCTATGTACCTTAACTCTTAAGGCTTAAATTCTTAACATACATTTTATAAGTTCCAAGTACCTACTCTATCTGCTTACTATTTTAAACATAGGTATTAAGCGTGAACCCAAACAACCAAACAAATACCTACATTATCTACTTACCAGAGCTGGAGCTCAATCAAGGGTATTTAAATACTATATTATTTTATATTGATTAGTTATTAGGTTCCTACTTCCTATAGATATAAGTTATACTTAAAACTGTTATTAAAATATAACACATCCTAACCTAACGCCACTGATCTAAAGTAATAACAACTATTAGGTAATATAAAATAAATTAAAATATAATATAATTTACTTAAAAATGTTACGATAAATTAATAATAACAGCAGTCAGCAACAAAAATTGACAATATTGGTTATACGATAGGTTCGTCATATTGTGATACAAATTACAAACATAACAATTTACCACTAGCGAAGTCGACGGATATAATAAAATGTTTAAAATAGTTAGGCCATAGGGGCGTTGAGCCGTAGAGAAACAAAATAATTCCGGAAAACTGGTAAATAATAAATTACAAAGTATTATTAATTATTAGTATTTGATATTTTGGTCACGACTGTCAATACGTTATTCAGTTCTGTTGAGACTATGTCTAAATTTATTATTTTATATTACTATAGGCTATATTTGGATTTATTTTATATACAAATAAAGTAATAAATCTATATAAGTTAAAATAAATATTTTAGTATTAGGCGATTAGGTCTTTAATCAGAATCAAATAAGGATTTCATTGGATTTTATTTTTAAGAAAATGATTATTGAATTAAAACTAACTAAAGAATTGAACGCGCCACAAGAAATACATATAAAATGATATATCACATGAAGAGTTTGTAAAAATGAAATTATTCGGGTTTCGGGTTAACCCGAATGATTTATTCGGGTTTTGGTTAATACGGGTGTTTTGAAAATAGAATCATTCGGGTTATATGGGTTTCGGGTGTTTACATTTTTAAGGATGTTTAGGGGTGTTAGGGGTTCGGATTAATTCGGGTGCAAAGCCCTGATATTTTCTGATAGGAAAGTGAATCTAGTTGGTGAATTTTGGGGCTCAAAAATAAAAAACTCCAAGTAGTTTTCAAAAACAACTAGAAAACGGGAATTTTTATAAAAAAAAATTTATCCACAATATGGATTTTGGTTTTTGTGTAACTCTAAAACAAATGACAGTATATACATGAAATTTTCACTGGTTGTTAACATTAGCATTTTCTATCAGTGATACAATTTTCAAAAACTATTGAATTGTTTTAAACTGTTTACGGACATTTTCAGTTTCCAATTTTTTTAGTTTTTTATTTCTGAATGTCAATAAAATTTTATTTGTTGGCTAAGAAAGCTTGACAATTTAATACAAGGCTCCTAATATATTGTTACAATGTCGTTCTAAAAAGATTAAAAATTCTTAGTCACAATTTTTTATATAAGTATTTAAAGTTTAAATCTTGATAAAATGTATCAAATTTAAAATTTAATAATTATTTTGTTGTTGAAAATGTATAAAATGTTCAAATTTTATAGCTAAGAATTGAAAATTTAAAACAAAGTTCCATATAAATAGGTTATATTATAATTATATAAATAACTTTATTAACAATAATATCATAAAATATACTTAGTAATACCATAGGCTGACGACCGTCTTCGCTCAGAATCGTTTTTCTAATAAAATGATATTATTTAACACCATCAATTACAGTGATCCACTTGTAACCATACAGCAGAGCGACACCCACTTGCCCATCTTTTTAATATTATTTATTACTAGGTGTTACATACTAACGTATATGTCACTGTATGTAACTCGTATTAAATTGTCATGATTTTGATATTCAGATTAAAGATAGATATAATATATTGAACTACAAATGAATTTGCAAATTTGGGTAGTTT